GGGGGGCTGATATTCAAAAATGTTATGGATATTAGCAAAAAGTGGGAAGGCTATTCCTCCCTCCCTACGGTTCCTGATTACTTCTATTGTGCTAGTGCTTGTGTATTAGTTATAGCTTAACTCTAATCCTTATATTACATCTTTTTTCATTGTCAAAATTTTGCAATCAAGTTCCTGTGTTATCTATCCCAGGGAGTGATTTCCAGGCAGTTGGTTGTAACATCCGTTAACAAGAAACATGAATAGCTTATATACAGACTAGCATTAGCAATCTTCTGTTAACCTGACACAGCGCTTGACCTTCTTCTTAAAGTCAGTTTTGTAACTATGCCTCCAGTCTTTCTGTTCACCCATGAAAATAATAAGATGAAAAATTTATAAGTAAGAATTCCTTTGATGTTTTTCCACAGAATAGGTCTTTACATAAAGGTTAAAATGCTAGGGTGAGGGTTTGCATTGAAATTCAAGACTGAGGGCTCAAACCAAGCACGTGTTTAAAAACCAACCAAGCCCTATTTCTAATGTTTGATGTAGGATTTGAATTTGGATGACAAACCTGTCCCAGGTTTTGAATTCAGGTTTTCCATTAAAACTCAAACCCAAACTAAAAAAATCCTTCACTGACAGGACAGGGTTGAAAATAATAGCTGGCTGCCTGAACCTTTGCCAACATTTTTTTTACCCAAAAAACAAATCCCTCCCTACACCTCCCTTCAACAACTGTATTACCAGTAAACCATTCATGTGGTCAGCGGTTTAAAAGTGGTTTTTCTTGAAAGTAGCTGGCCCAAAAAATGAATCTCACCCCMAAAAACTGCAAATTTCAGCATTTTCTGAAAAATTGCTCAGCATCAAATATACATTCCTTTAAGTAAGGACTCCCTTACAGGTTCACACAGGAAATATTTTTATCCTAAAAAGGAGTGCCAATCATCCTACCACTTTGACAAAGGGAGTATCCCCCTCCATGGACTAAAAACAAATCATTCATGACTGAATCAAAACCTTATAAATATACTTACAGCTGCATCAACATTAGCTGGTGATTTGTCATTGGGGTCTGCCAGCATGGATATCACACTCATTAGGATAGATTCTACTGAATGAACTGGCAGCCAACGCTCACTTGCATGTTCATAGCCATATTTATCCTCTCCTGGCTCATGCAGAATTGAGATACAAACCTCACCATTTTGATGTACTGAGGAGGAAAAAGGTATTTTTTAATTTTTAAGAAACGCCTTTGTTTTAGATCTAAGCCCCTGTTGAAAGTGGGGGCTTAGATTTAAAAATATATCAGACAAGTTTGCTTAAGACTAAGAGTTGGGGGGGCTGAGACTTGAAAATACACTGTTTAAAGTGGGGAGGCTAAAGTCCCTTTCCATAAGTCGTTAGTCCCTATTACTTTTCCAACTGGTAAATACATGTAGACTTATTGGTTTGAAGAATGGCAAATAATTTGGGATGAATTCTTCTACAACAATATCTTTCAATTGCAGCTCAAAATTTTTTTGTATTTTCAGTGATACTGTACCAGCAAAGATTGAGCTATATTATATTTTATGTTTGAAAATCAACTATGTGAATGAATAGGATTTTCTTTTAGAGTGACTTTACACTCTCGTGTCAAAACCCTAGTGTCAGAGCCTCTACACACTGATTTACATGAGAAAACGTTTTCTCACTGGACTCTGAAGATGACTTCTGCTCAGGTTGTCGAAACGTCAGTCACCACCAACAACAGTCTTTCTCAAGACTACACTCACCCGGACGATCGTATTTCACAACAAATTAAGCCTAAGTTGTAAACAAAATGCTATCAACATATCGAAAGAAAAACTAGCAGATTTTAAAAAGCCAAAATTATTAAGTTTTGTTGTATGTCACTCGTGATACTCCTCTCAAAGGTGGGATATGGTCAAAAGCTTAAGGTATAAAGCCTAAGGGTGGAGGAAAAGTAAGTGAAGCACTTATCTGTGGGGTTGGGGGAGTAAATATTATTCTTCATAACGAAACTCGAACTTMAACTTAATTATGTATGACATTGTCATAAAAAGTGGAGTAGCTAAAACCTTTGCCCACTTCTAATCCTAGAACATTATTGTTATTTATAGAAACTTCTTAGTTCATTTACTGGGGCATTACTGAAACAAACAAATAAAAATCTCAAAATTTAAATATCTTAAAATAGAATTAAAAAACTAGAAAATAATAAATTATGCGAAAGTTATTTCTATACACGTATAACGTTTTTTAAAAAATATTTTTTTACAATGCATTAACGTTTTTTTCGTCGCTTTTGAGTGTCCAATTTTATGAAAATTAATATTCATGACCAGCAATGGATGTTTTTCATGTTTTAACTTACTGTATCTAGAAAAAAACATTCAATATAAAACTTTTTCTGCTACTGTTCTTCTTTCGCCAAGATTAAAAGGAATGACAGTGATTTATGATCCTGATGAGACGTAAATAAAGTTATCAATGTAGACTTGGAAGTGAATGGGCTTCAAAGTGTTTTACACGAAAGGTTTTTTCTTTATACTAAACTCAAAATAAGACTTCTTTTTGACGTTTTTGATTTTGCCGATTTGATATAAGAGACTAAAGGGTTCATTTACTTTTTTATAATCTGTAAGGCTGTAAATTAATTCTAAGGATCGAAAGGGTTTTGAGAAAGTTGAAGCAGAGAGAAGTATTGAACTCGAAGAAAAAAATATTTTTGTATTACCATTCGGGTGCCATATCTCAGATACGAATTTCATCTTCGGTGGCCGTTGTGGATACTCTTTAGGAAAGACCAAATGAGCCTTGAATAGGCCTCCTTCACTAGAATAACAAACATAGAAAAAATACTGTTAGTTAAAGAAGTTTTAGATCATGTTTTCAGCTCCACGTTAGAACAAGATCATTGAACAAAGGCCACACTACAGCGCCAAATGCTAACAATCCCGATAATTTTTGACTTACTAGAAAGTATCTGCAGGTCCTACTATAATCACTTCCCATTTATAAATATCATCGTCGGATATTAAGCCAGCTGAGAACATTTCGCTGGGATCTCTATTGAGATCTGAAGGAGAAGAAAATATGACGCCATATTAGTACTCTTGATGGCTGATGAGCATAGAATAGTTGACGACCAAAAACGAGTAARAATAAGTAGAAAAACGCCTAATATCGACACAAACCTCGAAGCTGTTTCTTAAGGAGAAGTGCAGCTTGATCTACAGAGCCCATCTTGTGAGGCGGGAACCAAAAAAACTCAAAAAACGAAGAGCAATAGCTTTGTTAAAGACGAGACGTAGGGAAACTTTGCCTTTCACGCAGTCACATTGGTATTGCCTCGTCCTGATGTGGAAACACCAAACGGAAGTATAACACACTTCCGGTAAAGTAGTAAAGGAAGTAGATTTCCACCATTTTACCTACTTCTTTCTTTTAACTCTGTTTCTCTCATTCCTTTCTTGCTACCTTTCCTTTTGCATCCTTTTGCTTGTCCATTCGAATTCATTCATGCTTCCGGTATGTTTTCTTTCTTTCTAAATTTTTTTWAATGTCTTTCACTCATTCATTCCCTTTCACTCATTCAATCTTCAGTTTTTTTTCAAAAAATCTTTTTTTTCTTTCTTTCATTGTCCTTTTCTCTCAATCATTCTTCTTTTCTTCGGTAGTTCTCCCCTTTCCTACGCTCTTTCAGGACTAATTCTACAGGTTCCTTCTCTTAGTTCATTTTCTCTTGCCTCTACCTTTCGACAGAAAGAACTGAAATAATATGTAGTGTATGAAATATTTRTACTGTCGCTTGTTACGGGACAGATTTTGTTGTTTGGAAAGTTGCAAACGTAATTAATTTAATTCTTGAGGTTCAACCATGACTCAGAACCCTCGAGATATAAAGAAAAAACAATAAAGCAGTTGCCATGTTGGTTCATCGAACRAGAGAAGCTACTGAGGCCCCGTCCACACTATGCCGGATAAATTTGAATCCGAATTTTTATTTACTCGGTTCCATTTCAAAAATTCGTTTTCGGCATAGTGTGAACGGGTCCTGARTGAGGAATGCTTTGTTATCGTCACCCAACACGGTGGCCATGACGTAACATGCATGCATGAATAACTGTTTGCGATCTATAACAACAACAAACAAAAATACGTGTACATAAAATAAATTTGGAAAAAATTTTTTAAGTTACTGACACGTGTTTTACCCTAATGAAGTCGTTATTATTTTTAAAAATAAGATATAGAATATGCGATATACATTACAAGAAAAAGTATGAAAATAAAATAACAACGAGTTTGACAGGATGTGAGACGAGAGAAACTTCACTGCCACTCTAGGCGGACAAGATGTACTGATACCCATTAGTGTGGACGATGAAACGATTTTAAGAGAAAACGTCGTCCTTATTGGATGACAAGCTAAATTGTGTTTTTGATATACAGCATGGAACAGACACCGATAAAAATATTAATGTCTTAGAATCAATGAATTCTAAAGGTACATTAAGAAAAATATCAATAATTACTAAAAAGTCTTATGAATTCGTGTTTGTTGATCGGACATTCTGTATTCCATTTGGAAAAAACTCTCTTTTTGTTTTGGTGGACAATCAAAACCGGGATCGGTTTATTGCGCCTGGATATTTGGAAATGAATTCTTAAATCCTCGAGGTAAATTTGGAAGTTCAAAAAGTGAAAATTTTGTAGACTTCAGAATGCGATTTAACTTACATTTAGCTACGACGACTAATCTAATAATTCAAGCATACAGCAAAAAAGTACGAACAGTCGGCTGTAACAGAGACCGCGGAACGTTTGGATTGGGGGGGGGGGGGCTAATAATTCAGAAATCTCTCTTCCGAATACTCAATTTTATATCAAATAAAAAAATAAGCAAATGAATCAATAATGGCGGCAAAATTATTGGTGGGGCTAAAGCCCCTTAGCCCCTTGGCTCCCCTAGCTCCGCGGTCCTACGTAAGTCGTATCTATGTCGAAAACATGTTATTGTGGGATATATGAATGTGCGAATGATTCAATCTCCTACAGTTCCAATAAATATTTAGTGTTGATTAAATAAACGCAACAGTTCTGCCAGACTTGAGTTCAGCTGTTATGGTTTGATAACTTATCCAAGAGACAAGTTACAACAGCTGTCCATCCTGTTTGGTGACTGTAACAAAAAAACATATGAGAATAGAATTAGAAAAAAAATTGTTATAAAGGGCTCAGATACAGACGAAAACTAAAGTGCGCTAAAAAGGCCATGATAACCCACCAATTTTGCCACGACTGTGAAAACTGTGGTGGAGGGCTGCTGCGCCGTTACCGTTACGGTACCATTCCCGCGTACCGTGACTTTGCAATAAGCTGTGTTTTAAAGCCGATTACATCTTGATCAAGAGCGCGCATGTGAATCCAAAAGGATCTTGACCAATCTCGTAACCAGAGCCTTTATTTCGTACTGCGCATGTTTCGTCGAGCATGCGCAGTAAGAAACAAAGGCTCTGGATACGAGATTGGATCTTGACAGATTGCGTCTTAGGTTATTTTGGATTACTTTTGTTTCAAACGGACTCCATTAATTTGGAAGTATTRTTTTCCATTTCGTTATTTTTAAAAGCAATATTTACGAAACGTTTTAGGTTCTAACGTGTAAAACAAAGAAACTATACTCAAGGGAATGACACATGGTTTGAAATGGAGAAACATTTGACACAAAGTGAAAGTGTCTAAACAAATAAAGCTGCAAGWAAAAACTTTAGGACCAAGATAAGAAAATAGACTCTAGGTATCCGAAATCTGCCATTGTTTTCCCAAAACCATAGCCGCGACGAAAACCATAACTGACTTTTGTTATAAAACTGCATTGTCTCTTGGTTAAAAACCTTGAGCTCGTTTCGTGTTTTTCTTACCTAGCGCCACATCCCCGTCCAGTTTCGGAATGGAAATACTCGTAAAACAGGACTAACTGGTTCCAGTTTGGATCATCAGCATATTGGTGCTCGTTGCCATGGCAGGGTCGTATACCGTTCTCATCAGGTAGGAATAATGACGTCAGACGACGAGAAAGCTCTTGAGCTACGTCACTTAGTCGCATCAGGTTGCCCGAGCCTGTTGGGCACTCCACTTTTAGACTTTCACCATAGAAATAGTCATAACGTTCTAAGCACTCGACAAGAAGGGCATTCACTAGAAAGAAAAAATACAAGGTCAGGGATAGGAAATCGAATATTTATATTTTTTAGCAAAAAATATGCTAATAAAGTATTTTATTAGAGATATCAGGGTGGAATCTTGATCATTTCAACATATTATAAAGGTTTCCCTTACATTTACACAGGGACCGCGGAGGGGGATGAGCTTCCTAATAATTTTGCTGACATATTTTGATTTACTTGTTTGCTAGTTAAAATATCAATAGCCAATGCAATAAATATGCTGTAAATGCCCCTTAAAACACTAGAAATTCCAGTTCCAAGGGTCTCAATATCAATAGCCAATGCAA